GACCTGAAGAAGGAAAAGCTGGACCCATTTGATGGACACAAAGTCTATGCCCAAAGTAAGGTACGTCATCTTGTCCGAGACGGTGTGAGTGTAAGATTAAAGATTTCCATGAAAAGCTTGAAGTTTGGAATGCCGAACCCTTACACGTATTAAAGATCATTCAAAATTGCCAGACTTGCAAATGCCAATTATTGGCGGCAGAAAAACTTGAATCATGTAATACACACCTAGGTTAGGGAATTCCTGAATTGAAGAGGTTCATTGAATGGAAGTTTGGTTGGTTGTCCCTAACGGGTTGGTATGCAGGTTCTTAAATATCCCTCAAAACAATATCTGAAACGGCCAGCATTTAAACAATTTAAGCAAAATTAAACCCAGCGAAACTATTATGTGTATGTACAACCCGGCGCAGCGATACAATATCACTTGCAGTCGTGGGAGAGGGATTCAACTCGATCACTATATAACTCTGGATTTTGTGCCCACATTTCGGCAAGAAAATGGTCCACTTCAGATCAAATTATGAAGCAAACTAAGGATTTTTATTTTCTAAGGCAGACCTTAAGACTCTACAGGATTACGTTAACCCTCCCCGTGCCTCTCTTGAAGTTGCATAGTTAGCCATTCTAGAAGTTTTCTCCCGCCGACATCATCGCGGAAAAATATAGTGGGAAACCATTGTAATTTCATTCCGTTGAAAATAGCGACAACAGCTTATCATGCTGACGACATGGGCCCGCACGCATTCAGCGATCCATTTTGCTGGTATGCACCCTGGGATAGTTGACACGCCCCTTTTGAGATGTTACCTGCCACCTGCCGTGTACGAGACAGCGAAAAGGAATGGTCGCTTTAAAACACCGGCCGAGGGCGCTGATACGGTCGTATGGCTGGCTGCATCGGAGGGCGCTGTTCAACAAACGAGCGGGCAGTTTTATTTCGGTGAGTGAACAGTTACTACGCAGACTGCTACCTGTATTTAAATTAGTTAGGTACGAGTAGCATCTAATAATTCTCTTGCTATTTCTCATTATAAGACAGTGCTTCTAACATAGCCCCCTGGTCAGTGGCATTTGAGTATGAAATAATCTGGACCAATTAAGACCGCCTCATCACTTTCCATTTTTAAGAGATTGTTACGAAGACATTTGGCAAGCCTATAACCGGAATTCAAGATTTTGTTAGTCTATCACATGTCAATCCTCAACCTTTGCTGTGTTTTTTTTGTAAATTTTTGATCTTTTAACTTGATATCTTGGCTTTACCGTATTTTTATCTGCATTTGTCCTCTTTTATTATTTTTTCTGTGTAATTATTTTTTAAATTTAATTTAATGTTTTTGAATATTATGCTTATTTAATAATGTTTGCAGAGACCCATGGGAGTCCACCTTCGGGTGAATGGGTAACCCTAGGTAAAGATAAGAAATAATAATAATAATAATAATAGTGTCACGAAAATTGGTTTATATCGATAACAGGTGAACTTCATAAAATGAAGAAACAGAAAATACATCAGGATGATGTGATCGACTAATCGCGGAACTGTATTGTGCTTCGGAGTGAAAGGCATTGCAGATGATTAGCGATGGGGTTACCGTGGTTACCAGATTCGTCTACACCTATTTGGCCTTCTTACAATTTTAAGCACTAAACTTGCCCTTAGAATATATGGAGGCGTTATAGTATAAAGTATTACCAATACCTTGGAACGTGTCATTTGAATGCAGTTGATTTCATTAGAAAATACTGCTACCTCTTTTGTTTAGATCGAAAGGCTACATCTTCCCACAAGTGGGATTTCACTCGATCTACGGAGGCGGAGGAGCAACAGATGATGGAGAAACTGGAGGAACTAGCCATGGGCATCACTTCAAAAGATTAGGTTAAGCGTGGGTGAATCCTAGTTGAGTTATCAGCCAACTAACAGCTACATATTTCGGGCAAAATCTGCCGGGAAACTATGCAGACCGGAAACCTGTGTTTATTATATTGCCTGACTGGAACATTTGTAGTTTAGTTTTGTCTTGGGATAGTGGTTTACAGCTGGTGTTTAAACGGGTTAACATTTTCAGATTAGTTTAAAAATATACTTTATTCGTATTGTTGGAAAATAAGCATGTGCATTCTAGAGGGCGCTGTGCAGCGTGCTACCGCGTGCGCGCCATCTTTGTGGCTGCCATATTTTGATGGATTGAAGTCTCAAATCCATTCTTATTTTCCTATAAAAAGGGGCATCTTTGCCTGACTGGGTAAGTCACTTATTGCCATAATAATCATATTCAATAGTAGCAACTGTAAGAAACGGAACGGGTCCAGGAATCTCACACTTAAAGCGGATCATTTATTGGAATAATTGTTCTGTTTATTTTTTTTATGTACCGATATGCGGCCTAGGCCTCATCATGTTCCGTATCAGTGGTAAAAGTAATGAGGATCCATTACAGGGAATTTGTCACATACTTGCCCATGTTTTACCCGTGTTTTTGTAAAGTATCAGATGATAGTGTACTACACTTTTCCACTCAAACGGGGAACCTCTGTTTTGAGTCATTCTCTTCATTTTAGTACATGTGCATGACTTACCACACTGAAGCTTGGGCCATGTGCTCTCTCCCTATCTCATTAGTCCATTGACTTGCACCCAGTTGGTCATAACTTCAAGTTATTTACAAGTGTTTATAAGGTCAAAGTTTGTAGTGTTTATTGTTCATTTTATTACCAGCGTAAGTGATACAGACTACTGTAGGCCTATAAGCCGTATACCATCAACAATTGCTGTTCCTACCAATTGTTAACTGCTGTTCACTAGCTGTTTGTGCTGACTCTAGCCTGTTATTAAACCTGGAACCGGTATACACTTTAAGTGAACGGTGTCTGGTGTGCTGTTCCTGATTGTTCTTATCCTTATAGGCCAGCATGCATTAAGATCTGCCCCCTATCTACACCAACAGAAGTAATAGATCGCAAGTGCTTAACAGGACTTGTTATAGAGTCAGTCTGTACCAAACAACGCACAACCTTGCGCCGGTAGTTCTACACGTATGGTGTAATGTTTTCCTTACTGCATCAATCAAAATATTAAAGAAAGCACTTGGAGTCGTACCTTGCAAGTTTATCAAACATTTCTCAGATATGTTAAGGCTTTTCGTCTTCCACCCACCTTGGCTTTCACCAACCCTAAAACTGTTTTTTTGTTCCAACCATTCATGATTTCTTTTATAAGTTCTTTACCATCAACATCATTTAGTTTTCTTTGACTGAAACTTCTTTGATGTACAACTGAATAATGTGCCGGAATCTCACACCTCTTTCCACCGAATGGATAAAACGTTGTCGCTTTGGGCTCTAAGTACATGTACATGTACATGACTTGTGTAAGACCGTAAAATTTTCGATGATCGCCATATCGGTCGCTCTTTATCATTCATTTCGATGGCTGAATGGGTATTCCACTTAGCCATTTGCCTTGTTGTGGTGAAGCGCGACTTAGTTGTAAATTGCCAACCATAGCAAGACAGTGATGCCACGGGCCGTTTAAGCTCCAGCAAAAAGTCCCACAGTAAACGCCTTATTGCTAATTCCCATTAGAAGGACCACGGCTCGTTACCTTAGCGACTGCCTCGTGGCTCTTATCAAGATCAACTGAAAATGTCTCGTGTGGTAAACAGGAGCCTCCAAACCTGAGGGTAAAACGTAATCTGGTATAATTTTGTGCAGACAACCATCTCCAAACAACCTTCCATTTTTTACATTTTTCCCCTTCGCAAATAATGAAATTACACGTATAGTGGATTTCGACAACCCAAATTAGAAGCCATTACTGCGGTGGCACAACGCCCGTGGATAGGTCACTGGTACGCGCGCGTTATATAACTCTTCGACCAATAGGGTGTCGTGATTTGCCAAATGCACCTGCGCGTCAAGCCGAAAAAATGTGTGTGTGAGTGCGGTGCCACCGCAGTCATGGCGTCCAATCGGATTAGTTTATATGTTGAGAGTTTCGCGCTGCATTTTCGTCGCAGCGAAGGCTGAGGTTTAATGCCATCCAAGAAATATGAATCTCAGTAAGGTACGGTATTGTGCTTGTGAATTCTGAAATAAGAAGTGGCTTACAGTGTCTCTGTCAGGCTGAACTGTCTTGTTTCTCTGACAACCTAGAAGAGACTGGTGTGACTTTATAGACTGGTCTTGAGCACTAAAAGGGCACGATGGGCAGGGTAAGAGTCGCAATATTTGACTGAATTATAGATTTGAATTTCATAGGACTCGCAAACACCTTGGATCTCTATTTACTCAAAGAACATGTCTTCCGTGTCATTCAGAGCACGTGTTTTTCCAAAGCAAAGTTTCAACTCTTCATCTTGGGCCTAACACTGTTTCTGCCAGATTTACTTCCCCAGGATCATATTCCGACGGCTTGCTCTCATGGAGACATGTTTTCATCGATTCTCTGACGTAAGAATCATTGGGCTTGTGACATATACATGAATCAAACTCAAATATCTCAGAAAGCTGTCAGGTGGGGGGACATGCATTCATAATTACACTCTCTCTTGTCCATCCTGAGAGACATACACCTGGAGGCAATGGAGTAGAAATTTTAAGGATGCGTTGGAGCGGGAGTAGGCCTCATCTTTACACTAGTATACTCCTGATCACTCCAACGGTGGAATGTGACTTGCACAGACGAGCCTTTCCTCTCGATATTTTGACACTATGGTAACGTAAACATTGCCAAGCTGCAGTCCATGTACTGATTTAGCTATTATTTCTCGTTTCTTCACTTCTTAAGGCTTAGCGTAGCCTTTATAGTTCACCCTTCCTGGCTACTTTGGGATTTCCGTTCGTGAACATTGAACCACACGATGGTGCGCATGCCCAATATCAACGTGTTGGAGGAGCGCGTGGGACCAAAGTCATGCGCACTATCATTTTACGTAGTCAGTGCCGCGGTATCGTGCGACAACATAGCCTCGCAGTACACTAAATAGCGCAACGAACGCATTCCTATCTATAGCCGAGGATGATCTGCAAGCTGTGTCGACATTTCCCGAGCCACAGATATGCACAGAGTTGTCGGTACCATTGACGAGCATAACCCGAACATTCAAGTTGCTTTTGCTTGAGAATCATCGCAGTGCCGTAGGTGAAGGTAAGATGCTACCAAACATGTTCTGTTGAAAAATCGGTGACAGAGACGGCCATATACACATTCCTTGTACAGTTAACAATGTTAACAGCGAAATGACTGCATCTCCTTTCTACTAAGAATGTTTTCAATGTCAGCTCACGGGAGGCAAATTTAGAGGCGAGTTCGTGTTTTTGTTGTAGGCCTACTTCAGGTATTATGTGAAATCCGAAGTCCGTATGATACTTTTGTATTAGGGGCTTAAAAGACCGAAACTATTGCGTTTGTAAGAGGAAATAAAAAAACACAGCCCGACATTTTTTTGTCTTTGCAAAACACTGAAATGGCAGTGATAATTGTTCGGAGGCCGATTCATACTACGTCCGAATGTGAAAGCTGAGAGAATTGGACGTCAGGAAGGATTTGCAGCAAAGTTTTGCTCGGATTAAAATGTTTTGAACTTGCGGATTCGCAGCGCGAAAATTTGATAGGACGTCACATATTTGCGTCTTTCTCGCCAAGTATTAAGCGGCCCTTAAGCACGACAAAAACTGCACAGGACATTGAAGCTTGTCCTAGATCCGCCAATAAGGATATCAATGATAATGTGATAACACAATGCAGTATTTAAGATGCGCCTTTTGTGTCCCAAGTAATCTAATTTCAACTTTTGTTTTGCCCTTTTAAAAAGGGAGTTGGTGTTTGTTCCTTTTTGTTCTGTTGCGATCTTCCATATTTATGAGAAAAAAATGCAATTTCATTCTAGGCAGAGACTTTTTCATTGATTGAAATACTAGCTTCACAATTTGAACAGTAAACCAGAATTACCTTAACAGCAATCATTACCATCCGGAAAGTATTGTCAAAAATGTTTCTTAACAATGTACTTTTCAGTACATTCAGTACAACACCCTAGTTCTTTCCATGGATTGAAAGCAACATAAATTTGCACAAAAAGTGTGTTCGAGAAAAACTTTATCGTGTGGCCCCTTTAAACGTCTCCCCCCACCAATTCATGCGCCGCTGATGCACAAAATAACGCCCCAACATGATCGCATCTTGCTGGTGCCAGAGGTAAGACTTCCCCGCTGCAACTGGTCGCATGTTGTCCTAGTTTGCAGCAGAGAGCCTTTTCCCAGGATAACTTCGACAAATTTACTGCAACAGCTCTGTCCCCCGCTTCATGAAGCAATAATCACTTTTGCAAGTCGCGTCTTGTTCAGAAGGACTGCTGAAGTGGTTTGCAGCGCCATAACGATATAACATGCTGTTCTTGAGGACGATCGTCAAGTTTTCCCTGGTTGAAAGTACCTTCGTTGCATGAAGTTTCTTGTCAACTTAAAACCACCACTGGGACGTTGTTGTCGTCGCTCGTCAAAGCACTTGCTTCAGTAATAGGCCTGTCGATACTGCATCAAGTACGATTACCTTCCAATGTTAATAAGCCGGGCCTTCACACCTAACTGAAAAGGTACAAGCTTAGCGATAGAACATTATAATATGCACCGCAATTATATGTGTTACTATGGAAGCGTATATACGGAAGTGTATATAGGACATGACTGAAAAAAAACTGGGCCTGCTATTGCGCCCGGGCGGATTAGTAATCCGCCCGGGCGTAATAGTAATCTGCCTGGGAGAAACACTAATTCGCCCGGGCGAAACACTAATGCACCCGGGCGAAATAATAATCCGCCCGGGCGAAATAGTAATCCACCTGGGCGAAATAGAACCCCCCCCCAAAAAAATTCAGTCATGTCCTTTATACGCCTCCGTATGTTACTGCTTGCAGTCGTGCACAACAAATGGAGAAGTGGAGGTCACTCAAATAAGCTTCTTTCATAAATGTTAATGATTCATGATACGAGGTTTGTCGGTTAAATTCTAGGCGTTTGTAGCTTCTGCGGCTGTGGTTTCTCTGTACGCGGCTTCGTATTATTTTTCGCACCTGCAGTTGAAGGTTCAAAATTATCATGGTGATTGTATTACCGTTGAAGAGGTAATGAATGCCCTTAGCGTTGTGGAATTTACGACTGAACTGTCTTCATTTTGCTGAAACTGACAAAAGTGATTACCACGGTTATTTTTATGGACAGGTTATTCCTCTGTGTGACTCGTCGTCCACATAGTTTTGAACGACTTCATTAACACTGAAAATTTACTTTGTTTTATACACTTCTACGTAGGCCTACCTTTATTGAAAGGAATCACTCGTGCCACACAACTGTAACACTGAAACTGAAAGTTACTTTACAAAAAGCACTCCTTCACCCTTTCCCAAACAATGCTATATTCCTGATCTGTTTTTGCGCTAAAGGTGTTATCACTGTTTTGCTCAGACAAGTAGACATGTATGATCCATTCCTCCCCAATACACTTATAATAGCAGTGTTCAACCATCTCTTTTCTCAACCTACATTTTCGAATTTCACCCTTTTGAAGTGATTTAAAAATCGTCAGGGTACTTTTCCTAGTCCTTGTCCCCGTCCTTTCAATGAAATTCTTATTTCGTCCCAGAACAAAATGATTCTCGAGTTCCGTTTTATAGAGGTAATTAGACATATATGTCGCTAGTCTTGTCTTAGCGATTATATCATTTGAAATTTTAGTGTCAGAATACATCGAACACTTTGGAGAAGGAATACGTGCAAACTGTACGGAAGAAATTATTTTTGATAAAGCTGGGGGCGCAAATCAATTCTTAAGACAGACACACTGAAATCTGTTCTACAGCAATAAAGTCCTAACCAACAAATCTACTGACCTTTTTCACCCACGTGACTGGATTGCGCTAAATGTAAACAATACCATGTGTGGACCACCCTGGCCACAGTGATCACATAATTCCACGGGCAGTTTCAACTATGCGCAAGCGCATGCGAACGCTGCATGCTTGACTGATTTATCTTAAATAGGTAGATGACCATCAAAGCACTATGCAGTCATTACTATCGCAACATAAGCGGTCCAGCATGATTTTGACGTCACAGGAAAAAAGTCTCAAGTTGAGTACAGTTTCCATTGACCGTATTAAATTATGACTTTACGGCTTAACTTTCGATTAGCTGTTAATTGAATTGACAAGTTATTAGTTGTTTGATTAATACGGGTGATTCGCAGCAGTGCGCCTCCAAGAGTTTGCAACGCGTTGGCAAATCACAATGCGTGAAACTTGTCGACCCTTTCCAAACGCGCACTGGGTCGGCACTATTGTGAAACGCCCGTATTATCACCATGCATGTGTATGAAGCAGCAGCCACTGCAGTAGTTTCCACTTCGTACTTTCGAACGCCAGTTTGTTTGTTTGTTTGTTTGTTTGTTTCCTCACTGAATTTTTTCCATGGCATCGGAGATGTACAGAAGGCACCGCCCGAAAATGTGGTATAGTCTTTGCGCGAAGATAAGTGTTTCTCTTCCAGAATTAAGAACCGTCTCTGTGTTTCGGCCTTGATAATCTATGGTGTGCAAATAGTTCTAAAACCTCATAATTAAGAACATTCTGGGATTTGAAATTCAACAAAATCACGCAATAAGCCCTCCCCTCCTCAGAAAAGCGATTGTAGACCCACAGAGTTAAGTTACCGTCCACAGCAATTCGTGATACCGGAAAGAGAGGCGTGATGTGCCTGCCTAGTGCTTATATGGCTACAAATCAACAGGAATTCAAGTAGTAGTTCCACAGAACATCAATAAAATTCACCTTACTGCACGCAATAATCCAATCACATATTGGTAATGCTAGCTATTCAAGCAAGTTGAACGCAAAAGGACAAATGACCACTGCATTATATAGTGACACTTCCAAGCAGGAGATAGGTTTGTGAAATGGCAAAAGGTCTACGGACTCGTCCATGCCACCAGAATTTAAAGCGTATCTAGGCAGTTGTTTGAGTAGGTCGTCTGTCCAAAATCCGTTTCTTCAGTGTTGACTTCCCTAGCAACCCATTAATCTGTTGGTTTCTTTCCTTCTTTCGCCGGTACACTAAAATCGTTTGGCTACTTTTTAACACGTTTGCAGCGCAGTTTGTGAAGCCACAGGATGATGAGTTGCACGAGCTTACGGAATATAAGACTTAATCACCAAATCGAGATGCTCTTGGAAGCAAAATCGGTACGGCAAGTAAATTCAAAATAAATACAAAATGGGAACCTTAAAGTATGCCATAAATATAAAACTGGAAAGGTGAAAGTAGATAATAAAATCTTTGAGTATTCTTGCAAATATATTCGAAATTTGGCTCTTATAAGTGCAAAAGCCAATGTTTATAATAACTTGTTCGGGACGAAATTTCAAACGTTTTGGTGAAAGGAAACTATGGAACCAAGGAAACCATGGAACCTGATATTTTGCAGTTTCGGTAAAATGGTGAAAAAAGAGAGCTTGGCTGCATCTGACCTGGCAGCAAAATTTGCCGACTCATTAATGATTATTTTCAGCCAATTCGGTAAAAAAAACCTGAAAACGACGAGAACATACAAGTTTGTGTAAACGCAGAGGAAAAACACTGTGATTAGAGTCAAAATTTCTTCCGTTGAATATCGCACAAAAACAGCTCATTGGGGAAGGTTGTGTGAAACATTGTGTTCCTCTTTCAAGTGATCTTTTGTAGATAATGCGTTTCATACCCAAAAAGGGCGCAATCCAGGATGGTGTGTATTTTAAACAAACCTTTGGTGACGTGCATTGTTGCATTTCGCTGATTACCGTAAGGCTGGAGACTTCCCATGCCTGCTTATTGGCCAAGTTAATCGTTGCGCTAGTCGCAGGAAATCAGCAGTAGACTTCTTTCGTATTATAAGTGCACTTATTAGAAACTCACAACTGAAGAATTGTCAAATGACTCTCTACACTTTTCCTCACCTTCAGTTCAACATTTTTCGATCGCTTTAGATGCACGGTGGTATACCGTCTAACACAGAGTTGCTTTACTGATTAATCAATACCTAGGTTGCCCACTGGAGAGTCTTTACTCAAGGAAAAGAGTGTGGGCGACAAGTGAGGAAGTTCAATTTCATGACCATCACAAGATGTGATAAAGATCACTTAATGCAATTTCTTGATTTAGAGTATGCCATCTGCCCATATGGTTTTTGTTCGGTTTGTCTTTGACAGTTTTCTTTTTGGAGGGAAGTTGTTTTGTTTGTTTATTTTGCCTTTTAGTAAAATCACTGCCTTTGCATGGTATTGGAGTGATGTTCCACACACCTGTTTTTGTAAAAAGTTTGCATAAAGCTTTACCAAAAGTCACGTAGTCGTCACGTCACAGCATGAGAAGAAACATACTCATTTTTTTTTTGTGTGTGGTTCTTCTTTTGTCTTTTTGGATTATGCTCTTTTTCCTGACTTAAAGACGAGATGGTAAACATCAATACATGCACTTGTTTTTACCCTGTAGGGGTCTTCGAAAGATTATATAACTCTTCAACAAAATTCGTTAAAGGGCGACCGAATATTGGGAAGGGAATGAAGTCTTCCCGTATCTCTAGCTGTGAGATCGTTGGGAAATGGTTCTGTGAGTCACTGCATACGTACGGTGGTGCTCCGACAAACAAAATTTCAAAATGGCAGCTCTGCAGCGACAGCTGTCTGTTCAATGATTCAAAAATCCTACCACGCCACAGTTACAATGTAACGGTCCAATCAGAACACATTTAAGAACCACGTATCCACATAAATGGTTGCCCCGATATTAGCCATCACTGCAGGAGGCAAGCCTTTGCTTAGCACAGTAATTCAGATCAGCTGAGATGTTGCAAACTAAACAGTGACATTTCTTTCGTAAAAATTACGAATGATTTATAATGGTCACTCCTTTGCCATGTGCTACCGTGCCGATCCAGGAGTGTTGATTTCGCGTTTTCCCCTTCACGTGTCGTGTAGTTTTGAAAACATCTGAAGGCTTCCTTACCACGAGTACCACTTGTACATGTGTGCGCGTCGCTGCGGTCTTTGCCTATACAGTGGTAGACTTCCAGTACTCAGTGCGACAATACCCTTTGCACGTACGGGCATTTCAAATGTACTTCCATGTGCAACTAACTTAATGGTCTGTATTTTTTCTTCTTTCTTTCAAGGAGACGTAGCCGATGGTTTCTGTCTTCGTCATGACCGAGAGTGGATGGAGCGTTTATGGAAAGGTGTCTGTCAGGTCAGGGTAGGGTAAGGTAGGGTTGGTTTGGTTTTGTTTGGTACGATATTTTGACTCGAAAAGAGAGGGGCACGTTTAAGTTGCTCAAAGCAAAACAAAACACAAAATGAAATCAAACCAAACCAATGAAATTTGGTGTGTCCCGCATTTTGTGTCCTTACAAATGCAAACATCTAAAGACTTGCTTAAATCTTAAAACTCTGCTTGCGCGACTGTATGGCACTGCAGTCTGTGTTGCCTAAAACGACAGAAAAGGTTGGGCTTCGTGTCACTTGAGTCAGTGGGAAAACCGCATTTTATAATGCCTGTGGGGAACGCCCTTTTGCAAGGAAGTCCAGAAAAAATGTCCTTTACTTTTGTTCAAATGTACTTGCATTTCAGACTAACTTACTTGTCTGTGTTTTCCTCTTTCTTCCAAGGAGACTCGGCTGACGGTTTCTATCTTCGCCATCCCTAGAGTCTTTTCGAGAGTAGATGGAGCCTTAATGAAGAGGTCTTTTCAATTTCTTTTGTTCCGAGCAACTTCTACGTGCCGTTTCTTTTTGCTTCAGATAATCGTACCTGAATAGTTTCTATTTAAACTGCAATTATACCGGTACGGAATGACGGAGACCTCAGAAAGATTGTTGTCTAAATTCGAAACTCTTAACTGTAATCCCTTTCCTGCTGAAATATTTCTCATCTGTGCAGTCGATTCCGATTTTGTTGTTGTTAGACTCTGATTTCTCCTTCTCAATCACATTAATGGATGCTCTTTAAGCCGATGCATGATGTTGAGCATAAGACTGTGTGACAAGCGAGAGAGCTGAATGTACGTGCCTCCCTCGATGTACGCGACGGTCGTCGAGCGAAATAAAAGGTTTTCATCCGCATACGTTTCAGGCCTGCGAGCGTGGGTGTGGACAATCTGATGCACTTCCCACTGTGTATAGTACCGGGAAATTGCCGACAAAAATCTCAAGTGTCCCGTAATTCAGTAGAAAACTGAAGAGACTGGGCCTGGCATTTATATTTCAGTGTTCTGAAATACTGAAATCAGGGTCATTTTGAGACAACAGTAGGGACAAAAATCATACGAAGAAAACGCATCGACCGAGATCAAGGCAAACTATACTCGCCAACGTTATAAGTTAATTAAAAAAAACAAAATAACAACAGTTTTTATATCGCGCCCTTAACTAACTTAGATCAAAGTGCTTTATTACTACCCCTGCTTACGGAGGGACAAGAAAGTGCTGACAAGCAGGAACTTCTTGATATTTCCACCAATAAACTGTCCTCATCCGGGAGGTGATTTATAATGGAAACTCGAACGGCGACCTCAATGATTGACTTGGTCACATCAGGGCAGCCGCTTCTATCAAGTGTTACCGTTCCTGGTGCTGCAGCACTTAATGACAGCCAGGTTAACTTCGGTTTGATTTTTTCCGTCGTACTTAGTTCGCTAGGCATGTTTGGGAACGCCGTGGTTTGCTTCGTGATGCTGCGCCACAGGAAGGTGTTCTACTCCCCGACCAACAAGCTGATCATCCACCAGTCGTTCGTTGATCTCGTCGCCTCCGCCGTCTTCCTCGTTCGGAGGTTTGCGTTGGCAGTACCACCCATTCCGGACAGTTTCCTCGGACGCTTCTACTGCCGGGTCTGGTGGTCTGAGTGGCCCATGTACGGCATGTTTGTCACCTCGACCTACAACCTGGTGGCCATCTCCAGCGAGCGCTACCTGGCTACGTGCCACCCCATCAAGCACCGTAACACTTTCTCACCCTTAAGGCTGAAAATCGTCATGGCCTCTGCTTGGATCGCCGGCTGGCTACCGGCTGCTCACCTCACTTTGATATGCTACTACGACGCCGAGGTGCGTGACTGCGGTGCCTCGTGGCCCTCTTTAGAGGTGCAAGCCGTTGGAGGCATCCTCATCTTCGTTCACGAGATCATTGTTCCCATCACGACCATGTCGTTTACCTACTCCCGGATTATCTGGTCTCTTCGCCGGCGCTCTAGGGCTCGTGACGGGGAGAACAACGAGTCCGCCCGCGAGATGTTCTCCAAGGCCAACCGCAACGTTACAGTCACCCTGGTCGTTGTCGCTGCCTTCTTTGCCGTCTGTTGGCTGCCGACTGACATCTACTACCTGCTCTACAATCTCAACCTGCACAACAACTTCGTGGGCCACCCGGTCTACCAAGTAGTATCCGTCGTTGTCGTTCTCAACCTGTGCATCAACCCTTTCATCTACTCTTTCGCTTACGATCGCTTCCGCAAGAAACTCCAGCAGCAGTTCTGCGGTCGCCGCTGTCTGGCCCACCGGGTGGGCGTTACAGATGACGGTACGGGCACCGATGCTGAGACCCGCAGAACCGTACCCGTACCCGCAGATCGCCTGACCGCCAGTCGTCATGACGAGACTGGTTCCAGAGCAGACTGAAATCCTCTACCACATCATAAACGAGCACATCTGTAGATAGAGAGGAAAGCACTGGCCACAGAGCTGTCTGTTATCTCGGACCTAAACGGCGACCTCGAACTTATTGAAACTGAAATCCCTTTCTCCGTCTCTTTCCTCAAGAAGGTTGAGTCCATTTGTATCTGTGGACGGTAGAGGTGGTCAAAACTTACAGTTAGGCCTAGATGTTTCGTTAAATACCAACTTATGAGCTGCTGGTAACTTAATTCAGCGACACCAGAGCAGCAGCTTCGGATGATGAGAGCACCAACACAATTTTCTTACCGAAAATTTGGTGCAGCTCTGTATCAATGGACAGTATACGACATTTGGTATGTTCCCATACTTTGACAACTAATGCACGTGACTAGTGCATTTGACTAATGCACGTCGAATGTTATAATGAGAATCTTTTAAGCATGCCACTGTTTGCTGTATTCATGATATCAGCAAACTAGACTGTTTGCTGTATTCATATCAGCAAACTAGATCGAACGCGTGGCGAATGGCGCAGACGGGGTAGTAAACATTGACGGCCATTTTGTATTATATTATTGACCAAAGGAGATTTTACGTTTGTGTGCTGTGGTGAATTATTAATGCACAGCAAAAGCAAACGAGGATGTCAAAATAAGACACAAAGATCCTGATACATTGACTTAATATCCCGCAGTTGCAACCTTTCATACAGTAACTGACGAAATTATTGGTTGAAAGATATATGGGGCGCTACGCATGGAATAATTCTTTCAGGCAAGCTGTCATTTTGAAGAAAGCAATGAAAGAAGGCCATTTTCAGCAGTGTGCCCTTCAACTTTCGATTAGGAAAAGAATGTCGTTTTTCTCAAGATTCACCGCAGTTCACTAAGCACAAACTTCATAAGGTTAGTTGTAAAGCAAACCTCTTTAGATTTTGAGCCCTCTGTTGTTTCTAACAAATATAGTGCAAAAATGACAAATCATGGACTGTAACTTTAAGCAGTGTCATTTTGTCAAAAACGTATGACGGCCACGTACAGTTTGCAGATTGCCGCGTATACAAAACGGCGATCATTATATACGCACATTAGATGTTCTCTCGATGAACAGTTTGCCTGGGAAAGCCATGTATTTTCGCTTTACCAAACGCTTATTGCGTGGCGTGTTGGACATCGGCGTGACTTCTCCACGCGTCGTCTCGCAGAAAACAGGAAAAAATGCCATGCTTCCTGTCTGCCTAAGAAAGGCCATTGCACGAAGAGTGATGGCAACAGGAAACGAGAACGTGACCAGATTCATTGATTGCTTTAAGTATCATTAATAACAATAACGCGTGTACCTTTGGGACCATAAAGCGATTAAAGAAACACTGAAAAAAATCGTGGTAAATGTTTGAGAGCCCATATGGAAGCCTCGCATTATGGGGAGAGGGTCTTTAATAATAGATTATGTTAGGTTTTATTTCAATATTAAATCAGCTCAGAAAGCATCTTAATTGATGCTCGGGAGCCCCATGTCGTGACTAAAAATATGGTCTGTTTTGTGTACAGTGAGTGGTCGATATAGTTCATTATAATGTATATAGAGTAAACGTGGCACCTTTGCACGTATTTCTTTTATTTTTAACGAAGACAGCACTTTCAGCCTTCGTCGGCCATGATTGTTAACATTTAATATATATTGTCGCTTTATGTTATTGACTCTATATGCTGAGCATGTACAAGTTTTCTTGCAACCTCCAAGCATCCTGGGTAAGAAGTTGTGAGCTCATTAATTTCGGATTTTTTTCCTCTCTCAAGCTTTTTGAGAACAATGAGCAAACAGTATTAATCAAATCACTTCGGGGAACGACATAAAGGGGCTCGACGTTTACAGTTCCCCAGTGGAAAAATTAATTATCCTAACCATCCACACGCTGGTACAATTCTAATCGAAATGTTGCCGTGAAACGGGTCAGAAAAAGTAGTTAGACTGCATACGAAAGACATAAATAGATAAGGGGAACTTATTAAAAATATTAATAAAAAAAAAGACGGGAAGAGAGGAACAGCCTACATGCATTATTCATATAATTTTGACTTAGGACCAACATTTTAAACGAGTAAGCTGCAAGGGAATATTTAACATACGGTTTGCAGTACGTTTTACTTTTTAATCAACGTATCGTGGTAGGTTCTTGTCAACGCATCTTGTGAATTGTCCAATTACAAGATGTACAATACGGATGCAGGACGTGTCAAATTTGAGACAAACAAAACTCAACGTACAAAATTCAACAGGGTTGTCTAAGGAGCGTGGCTAACTCGGAAACGGGGACAGGTCAGTTCACTTTAATGTGATAACATTGTCACCATAGTGGCAAGTTTCCACGGTTGCCATGCACGTGCTTGGAAAAAAGCCTAGGCCTATGCAATTTATATGTAATCATGGGAGAACGCAGCAACGCTCACAAAAGTTCCGCGCTATATCTTTACCTCGTCGATAAGAAGGACCTAGAGTTCGCTCATCCACGCTGCCTTATATCCAGGACATTTCACCAAGGCCTTCATTTTTATAGAATTTTTTTGGGGAAAAAAACGAAGGTCAACATTTCCGTGTGCATTCAAGGTATCAAGCAAATTACAATCATCACGACAAAACTCACGACTTGTCCCAGGTCGTAGGTCTATATACTGTGGTTTATGGAATTCTATACACTCTCGGGAAAATTTGTGCCTTAACTTACCCTTCGAATATAGGCAGAAAGTTTAATGTTGCCTGTTGGCTTATTGTAGCAATTACTGTATTCTGTGACTGGCCGTCATGCATGTAGTGAACTAACGTATAGTAACGTTTGCTGATTGGGCAAAAGAGAAATTTATCAACTTTGTTGTGCTCGATAGTCTCAACGTTGCTTTTATTCATGAAATAAGATTATAGGACGGGCCCTCAATTAAACATCCTTAAAACCAAATATACTTGTATAAAACGCGAAACACCGAAGGATAGGGCCGTTTTAAAAACTTGAAGTCTTGCTTTATACAACCACACAGTTTGGTTATCACATCATCCGTCATCTGTCATTCTGAAGTATATAAAAAATTGTCTGAAATCCCTGATTAAGTTGTTGTTCAGAACTTTACTGTAGGGCAATTGTGTCAATATTCTTTCAAGCATGATATAGGACAGCTAGTCAAGCTTAGAAGCTTGCCTTGTATAATGTGCATTCGGGAACCGAGGTTTTAAAAGAGACATTTAAAGACATTTAACTGATGTGCATGTATATGTGTTTATAAGTCTTCAAATGGCATTTTAACTTCCTACAATCTATTGTGCACTGTACGAAATATAAACCACAAAAGTTTCGATTAACTTAGTTCAAGAAGCCATGCACATCAAACTCACTTTACGCATTGTTCATACATGTAGAAAAATCATGTTTCCTCGATACTGATATAGAAACGAAAAAAATTCATTCGTATATTATAATTCATTTTAAAAGTGAAGTTTGTGACTTTGTTTGTTTTGTCAGTGATTTAAATTTTAAAAAAAATCTTTGAAAACCATAAACAATCCGGATCGTGTTCAGGAGAGGAAAATGTGTGTGACTTGCTCAGTGACTGTTTGTAAGTATACCCTTCGACAACTCATGAACTGCGATAATAATTTTAAGAATCGTTAGATGCCATAAGTTATTCTATCCGAAAAAATATTGAGAATGCGACGTCAGTACATTTAGTTGAAGCCATTTGCATTTGAGTTTTATAAATTAAGACTTGAAGAAAGAAGAAAAGTTGTCGTCAAATACTCTGAATCATGATGTCCAAAGGTATTTTAAAACAAAACCCACGCCATGATGATCTTGCCCTCGGAAACTTTTCCAAGGAATTTAGCGTCCATTAAGCGTCTGTTTTTATAAAGTGGCATCTTGCGTCGTGCACTAATGAGTGCAGAAGGCCGTTCCGCAAAATTTATTAAACATGATTTGTAAGTTCGGGTTAGTGCCAACATACCCTTTCTTGAAATATTTTGTACGTGGCAGTGCAGAACTGAACAGACGCATATCAAATTTAGGCTTGATATAGTTTGGCCGTAAAAAATGGAATAAAGGGCAGAAATAATACCAAAAAATGCAAAATTTGACATTAAATAAAAAACATTACATTTTTAGATTTGTTGCCAGCAACAGTACTGCCCCATTACTGGTGACAGCATGAATTGACGACAGAACGTGTGCAACCAAGCAGTGACGATGGACCAGTGGAATGACATGACAGGACAATGTCATAGCGTCGTACGTCGTCACTTCGTCCATTCATCTTGAAGCTTTTTGTGTCTACACGACGCCTCATTGCTTCATAACATTCCATCGCGAATTGCGTTGTCCACCGTGTTCTGCGTCTCTCAGTACGTCTCTAGTGTATCGATTCGCCTCGCCAATCTTCAATAGAGGCGTTGAACGAAATACAAATAATGTTGGCTCCGTCTTAGGGGAGGAGTAATTCGAACAGTTTATTGATCACATTTTCTGACTCAACAATAAAAATCAGCTCACGCCGAGCAAATCGTCAGCTTGGATATCAAACAATACACTTCAGTAAATACCAAAATTTAACCTTCATGAAAGCCATGAAATGAGTTCACTCTTGTCCCAGTTGGACCAATATCTGGTCCCTCTCCAACAAAGCTGTAGCGTTGCCTTTGACCGCTGTAAATTTTATCTGACGAATACGTTCAACACTGGTTATTAATTCATGAGGAACCCAACAATACCCATGCAAAATTATACAAAATGCAAGCTGTTCAAAATCAAATAAAAAAACTTGTTATTCATTGTTTGGTTGCGAATCCAAGGCCATTACGCCAGGCCATGGAGAATTATCATTGCTTTTCGTATATTTCAACGGTTAAAACACGATCAATTGTAAAGATCATGTTATATAATGCATAAATCAACAACCAACCACGCTCAGATCTCGACAACTGCGTTTTCTTTGGTCAAAAAGGAGAGAAAATCGCTATAGCAAGGGTCCCCTATATTTATGTTATCTGAGCTGAGAGTTTCAATTGGGGATCATGGAAATGAAAGGTTTTATTGAAGCTTTTAACAACAGCTCTATACTTTGGCTGTCAGCGAAATTGTGTCCAATTCTCTTCCATGGGGACGAAACCAATTTTACACGCGGGAAATGTAAATAATAAATAATGATCAGATATCTTCAGCTTCAACAACAAACCCACTAGTGCCGTATCCAGCTCGTGCGTTCGAGGAGGATGGGAATTTTGTCTGAAAGAAAGTCAGCTTTTTTATCTGTGAAAAAGTTTTGATTCCCCCTCCCCCCCCCAAAAAAGATGGTAATACTGTTCGTAAGGCATCAGGGCTTTCAAGCCCTAATTTGAACAAATAAATAAAACATGAACATCGGTCACATTTCTCGGGGACAACTTATCCCCCTACCCTCGCTGGTGACAATCCACCCGTTGGAGAAATGACACACCTGCAACGCTTCCCTCATGTTGAGGTGTTGAGGCGATTGTTGGGGCGGTTAAAGCTATGTTGCAGCAG